GGCATCCCCCCGCTAATAAGACTTCCCCGATAACAAAGCATCCACCGATGTGTACCGAATTCTTCTTCATTGAAATATAAGACATCCCCTGAAAATAAGACCTAGCGCATCTTTGGGAGCAAAAATTAATATAAGACACTGTCTTATTTTCGGGGAAACAGGGTAGATGATGAGTGCAAAACTGGATGGAAAAATGTTTCCAGAGAGTAGTTATCAGTTGTTCACAATCAAACTGGAGGGCATAACGAGTGAGGTCCCCTAGGGATCAGTTCAGAGTCCGGTTCTGTTCAATATCTTCATCAGTGTGCCAGGTAATGGCATAGAGAGTACACTGATAAAGTTTGCGGACGATACCAAGCTGGGAGGGGTTGCAAGTGCTTTGGAGGACAGGATTAAAATTCAAATGATCTGGATAAACTGGAGAGATGGTCTGAAGTAAATAGGATGAAATTCAATAAGGACAAATGCAAAGTACTCCACTTAGGAAGGAACAATCAGTTGCACACATACAAAATGGGCAACTACTGCGTAGGAAGGAGTACTGCAGAAAGGGATCTGGGGGTCATAGTGGATCACAACCTAAATATGTGTGAAAAGTATAACACTGTTGCAAAAAAAGCGAACATCATTCTGGGGTGCATTAGCAGGAGTGTTGTAAGCAAGACATGAGAAGTAATTCTTCTGCTCTACTCCACGCTGATTGGGCCTCAACTGGAGTATTGTGTCCAGTTCTGGGTGCCACATTTCAGGAAAGATGTGGACAAATTGGAGAGAGTCCAGAGAAGAGCAACAAAAATGATTAAAAGTCTAGAAAACATGATCTACAAGGAAAGATTGAAAAAATGCAGTTTGTTTAGTCTTGAGAAGACTGAGAGGGGACATAACAGTTTTCAAGTACATAAAAGTTTGTTACAAGAGGAGGGAGGTAAATTGTTCTCCTTAAAAAACAACAAGGAGTCTGGTGGCACCTTAAAGACTAACAGATTTATTTGGGCATAAGCTTTCGTGAGTAAAAACCTCACTTCTTCGGATGCATCCGAAGAAGTGAGGTTTTTACT